GCGGCGCCACAACTTCCTCTGACCACCATGACATGACAAAAAAAAAGCTGTCCATCCAGAGATTTTCACGTTGAAACGTGAACTCAAGCACCATTATAAAAGAAAAAAAAAAAGGTTCGACAGAAGCTCACCTGACATTGCTTCGGGATGTGCCTGCCCGCTTTCTTTCCTGAAGTACTTCGTAGAGGCTGCCAAGAATATTTAAATATTTGCGCCATTCTTCGTGGTCAACCATATCTGCTGGTATGCATGTACAGGTCGGAACACTGTTAGAGGGAACAGGCGAGCGAGTGGCCTGCACTCTGTGGTGGCTGCGTATACCTGATCATTAGGCGACAGCTGAAGAAAACGCGTTCGCTTTTGACGTCATCTATTGCCAAACAGGATAACGAGTCATGGCCGGTAGGCAAGTGCTGCTAGATTACGCTGCCTCTCCGCTAACGCAAATGGCGATGCCCGCAGTGCGTAGTCTGCTGCCAACAAATCGAACGTTGTGTGCGAGCACGGCGAAAGCTGCAGGCATCACCCAACATCGCTAGTTGCGCGAACGGTGAGGAAATGTAATCTGTACTCGGCGACAACCTTCTGTGGCAGCACAGAAAAAGCTATAGAGGGGGGAGCTTCTGCACATGCATTACTACGCCAAGTAGTTCGTTTTCGTGTGATTTAGGTTTCGCAAGCGCATCCAAAATGTAGTGTTTCGCACGACCACCATGCAATAAATGTTACATTTATGGGAGAGGAAGTAAATAAAACGATCATTTTTAAGAGCAAGAACACCACCTTTTTTTTGAAGCGTTGAGATTTATTTCAGAAAAAAAAAACGTACGGCTGAGTAGGTACTGAGCGTTTCGAACGTAAAACCAAGAAGCCATTGCCTGAATTTCACTGCACACTTGGTCGGCATCATTCTTTTCTTTCTCTTAGAGACGCAAGAACTTTCTGGAGACTCCCACGTTATTTTTTCTGAGCGTGATGGCAACGTTGGGAAGCAGAAATCTTGGCCACGACCGGTCATGAGCGGGCGTCTGTCGTTCGTAAATCCAGGCGGCTGAAACGCAATCCTTACTCGGCCAAGAGGGCTGTTTTTGCACAGTCAACAGGGTAAGATGCAAGAACGCATCTGTTACCAAAGCAAAGTGCTAGGAAGTGTCTCTGCGTAGACGCCCACGGAAGAGGTGCTACGATAGGCGATCTCCAGCGTTATTGTATCGACAGTACGGGTTTTTAGCAAGCTACGGAAACCCGTTACGGAAGTACGACACGATTCCTTTCCGTATGCGCGTACAACGGTGGCGCATGCACACTCGTCAGCCGGTTCCATGCTACCACCTTTCCGTAACGTGTTTCCGTAGCTTGCTAAAAACCTCTAATATTAGGCAGACGAAACACCGACCACGTACGCAACGCAATTTAAGAAAATGGTTTTTGGTTGTGCTATCGGCGTCAAATGAAACCCGAACAGCGGAGAGCGTGTTTCAAGCATTACAAAGAGTATAGTGTTAGCCGTCCAGTCATCACCATTGACAGGCGTGCACATCCGGTTTGCTGCACTGCGCGATGCCCCTACAGTGCGTTATCTCCGTTTCTGCTCTAGTTTTCGTACGGTGGTAAGGGTGGCCATCGTGGGCCTGCCAAACGCTTTTGATCGTATCAGTCGCAATTTCTTGCTTTTACTTCAGCGTCGCAGCGCAATCGGTTACTCGGCACGATAAAACAAAAAGAGAAATATAATCAGTTTGTGGTTGATTTTCAAACGATCGCCGCATCTTGTTCGCCAGCGCTGCTTCACCTGCGCCCTTCTTTCAGAGACAGACCCGAAAACGCGTCACTTTAACTGGAAATGCCGAACGTTTCTTCGAAAGTTGGAGCGCAAATTGTTTCGCTTTACCGGCACGAAGTTAAACAGCGGGAAATTGCCAGCATTATGAACCGACGTTTGTCTTCCATAAACAGAATTAGCAAGGAATTCAATGATGATGGACTCCGTGGTGACAAACCATGCTACAATACTCGGCCTCGGCTACAGTAGTATAACCTCTGTTTTTTTATTTTTTTCCTTTCAAACACCATACCTGGAACACAAGCAGAAATATTGCACTATAGGGGGATCGCGCAGTGCTGCCACGCCGGATCTGCGGGCCTGCCTGTGTCAATGAATGATCGATGGCACGCACTATGCCATTGATGAGACTTGCGCCACGCGCTCCGCTGTTCGCGTTTCATTTGATGCCGATAGTACGTACAGTTTCATATCGCGCTTTTTAATCCAAACAGGCGGTGTTGTAGAAGACTGGCAGGCCGCCCGTGTCACTTTCAAGGCAATGAGAGTCCCATTTTCGCTGACGGTATCACTCGCACACAAATTCTCGGTGATTACTTGTGCGGGAAACAAAATGTTTCACGACGCACCGCTGTCTTCATTTTTCTCTGCTTGATGAATACAGATCACTTGATGAACACACACTCATTCTCGCTCACAAGCTTTGATGTGAACTTGCTGCAATTGAGCGACGCCATCTGTGTTTCAGCGAGCAGTGAAAAGGTGAAACGGCACCAGAAAACTACAAACAGCAAGGAACGAAAAACCTACACAGGCGATGCTTCCAAAAAGTATTGTGAATAATCTTGAACTTAATAATTACATCTTTATATTTTCCAGTATACTATGCTGTGTACAAAAGTTAGCGTTGGCGGACTGCATGCAGATGCGTAGCAAAAAAGGGCGTGCATGGGCTTCGTAGCCTTGGCTGTGCTGCCACAGGGAGTTGTCGCCGAGTACAGTCGCACTTTGCAACCGGCCATGGATCGCTATCTTGGCTGGCAATAGATGACGCCCTAAAGCGAACGTGTTTTCTTTAGATGTCGGCTGATGGTGCTGTAGGCAGCCGCTGCAGAGGGCAGACCACGTGCTCGGCTGTTCCCTCTAACAGTGGACCGACCTGTACGTGCGCACTTCGCAGAAACTTGGCAGGATATGGTGAAAGCGTCGACAGACATCAACGAAGCACTAGTGTATTGATGCATTGTGTGCCCCAAAAAAAAAAAGCACGTTGCCGAAACGTCACACGACGCGTGCGCGTGGTTGCGCGCTTTGCGCATTGAATGATCGCCACATAAAGTGCTTTCTCTCTCCTTCACCGCAATGAGTGATACTCGAACCCGACCACGTGCGTGCTACTATCGTGGTTAGTAATCCTTCTGCCCCCCCCCCCCCCCCCCCCCCCCAGTCACCGTCTCTTCGCATTGACAGCGCAACATGTAGAGCAGTTCACGAGCTATCCACGCTGATTCCTGCCGTGATCGCGCGCGCATAGTGATCGCGATCTAATTTCATGGCTGTACCTGGATCGATTTTTTAAAGGGCCACTCAACAGGCTCCGACTTTTAAAGACGATAGTCTTTCTTTGGAACCTTCGACGCAAAAAACTTTTGTCTGTCTGTCTGTCTGTACATTTGTGTGTTTTTGTACTCTTAACAGCATCGGGTATTTGAAACGGCCGACCCCATCCGCAGCGCCCACCTATGTTGGTCAAGATTCAGCGTTCATACTTGTGCAATTGTCGATGAAAAAGCTATTATTGTGCGTGTATGGAGCACGATAACAACACGTATATATTCTGCATGTGCGCCTTTTACTAGAAAAAGCATACATAAGTAATTTTAAGGACCGTAGCCCTTATCACACTGCGCTGACCATCCAACGCTTGCACGGAAAGGCGAGTGCTTGCAACGCTTTGCTAAAACGAGACGGTGGTGGCACCTACCCGTCGCCTTGCGTTCTACACCCTATCACCTCTGAGGCGGGCGCGCACACGCATCTCCGAGTCATGCGCTTTGTTTTTGAAAAAAACAACTGCCAGATGGCGCTCATGTCTCACATGCAACGTGACTTGATGCGCTCATTCGCCTGCGCTGCACGCTCGAGGCACTTTAACGCAGCGCCGCCAGAATATCATTCACCGATTTTCTTGAGCAGATCATCAAATAAATCTTTTGTTCACTCTATCCATACGCAAGACTATCGTCTTTCGCCGACATTTACAGATTAAATGCAGATACAGGGCCAATTTCGTTTACACCCTCCAAGCTAAGGCACGTCGCCGGGCTAGTTGGTTGGGATTCATCATTTTCACTGGTATAGCGCACCACGACAAGGACACACACAAAGGAGAGATTCACACACACACAGCGCTAACTTGCAACTAATCACAAGATTAGTTGCAAGATTAGTTGCAAGTTAGCGCTGTGTGTGTGTGAATCTCTCCTTTGTGTGTGTCCTTGTCGTGGTGCGCTATACCAGTGAAAATGATGTACACCCTCCAAACAAGCTGACGCATCTTGGGTATGCCTGAGCAACCTCTTACATGCGCAGTGGCGTAAACTCGTCGATCGGTGACGTTGACTTGATTAGTGTTTGTTCAGAACTGGTATAGACCAATCGACGAGCTGCGTGCTACGTCACGTCGTCGATCGCCAAAGAGAAATCACTGCGCGTGGAAGGAGGTTGTCACGTACAGGAAAAATCGCGAGCTTATCCTGCTCCTTTTGGAGCCTGTTAACTGGCCCTTTAAAATTACACACAAAATTTCTCAGATGGCAATTCAATTCGCCTAAAGTTTACTCTTTCATATAGCTGCTCTCCGACACTGAGAAATCGAAGCATGCGTGACGACGACTTCATTCGTTTATGCTTGAAAGGTCTTACACGGCACAGCGCTGACTCACCTCTGTATGCATTCCCGTTATCAGAACGCAGCGAACACCCAATCTTACTAGATTTAGGCGTAACACTTGTGAGCACTATAGTAGCGTATGTAAAGGACTTGCCAGTTTGAGCGCAACACTAAAGTTCGCGGAAGTTATATTGACGCCTGTGCTAGGATAACTCATTTTCATCACAATACTGTGCTTACTAAACTAAGGGCTTCACTCGTAAAGCAGGGGACAAGCCATGGCAAGTAACATAGATTAGGTCTCCAGAGTGAATTCGCATTTCATGCGCAGGAGTAATATACTTTATTAGAGATGACGTACAAGTGCGATTATCACAAAAGATATCGATTTATTTTGGAGAAAAACACCTGTAATCTTGCGTATGGAACTTTTGTGCAAATTGAAGTAACAACAGTGTGACTGGGATCGAACCGGCGACATCGACCCCAATGGTGCTATGTCATAACCGCTAAACTACAACTCCTACTCACACGTGTCGGCCGCAATCAATAAAATGTAAAAAGCTTAGCTGCGATTCGCCTTATGTTACGTCAAGGGTAAAAAGTGGTGCCAGTACTCCAAGGTTCCTCGGAGATGCATATAATACTAAAAAAAGAACTACTTAAAATGAAAGATGAGGTTTGCATTGCACTAGATCGAACACAGAGCGGCAGATTCTTTCTTGAGAAAATCCAGGTAAATGTTTTCTTTCCACGCGCCGTTCAGCTGTTCTTTGAAGGAGGCAGTTAACCATACAAGTGTTTGTCACGACGGTCGAAGTTATTCCCAAGCATTTAGCCAAGCTCAGAGGTAGAGCGGCAAATATTACGCATTACGTAGTTCGGGACACTATTTGGTTGCAGTGGTTCCATGTACAGGGTGTTTTTTGCGAACGTGGGTTGATAGGGCTTTCGCATACTTGTAATCTGCCCCGCATTGCCGGCAACGAAACGGTCTTCTGTCCGAATGCTTTCCTGCCTCGTGAGTGTTTAAGTCGGGCTTGCGGGCAAATTTTTGTCTGCACACACGACACTCAAAAGGCTTTTCGCCGGAGTGACGTACGTAATGACTTCTCAATAAGGAAGCGTACTTGAAGCACTTCTCACATTCAGGGCACTTATGTTTTCCATCGATCATGGCGACCTCCTTGTGTTTCTTGAGGCCAGCTTCACTAGCGAATTGCGCCATGCAGAAAGAACACACCCAGGGTTTTTCAATGGCCGTAACTTCCTGCCGCTGGTTGGATACTTCGGCACCTTCTCCAGGCCGGCTGCGAGAGAGTGTTTGAAAAACAGAAACAGTAGTAATGATCGTTAGGACCAAGGTAAATAAATAAATAAATAAATAAATATATATATATATATATATATATATATATATATTTATATATATATCTGTGTGTATGTGTGTGTGTGTGAACACGTGTGCTGCGAAAACAAAATTCAGTAGGTAGTCAGCGCTTGTGTTGTCCCTCTTAGCATTCCATACGCTTTTCTTCCTGCACTTTGGTGCTTGTACTGCAACCCCTATTAACATGTCCTTTTTCTCAGTTTATTGAAACGCTTGGCTAATCATAAGAACGTTAACATAAGCGTTTGCGCCTGCCTGTTGTTCATCAAGAAAATTTCTTACACAGTGGCTGTAAACGAGGCAGTGGCCTCTCCCCTTTACGCTCTCTCAGCAATCGCGTGATGGTGTCGGGGAACGATATTGTGCAGACAAGCGATGAAACAACGCCTTGTATCATAGTAACAACGCACTGTCACATGCTAGCACGTTCAGACCTGCGTACGTGCCTGTGTAAGAGGCTGAGCTTGCTCCCCCTTTTCACGTGATGGCGTCGAGGAACGAGAACTTGCAGACAAGCGATGAACCAACGCGCTGTATTCTAGTTTCAACGCACTGTCACATGCTAGCGTGTTCGGTCCTGCGTAAGTGTCTGTGTAAGAGCCTCAACTTGCTCCCCTTTACTCTCTCTCAGCAATAATGTGATGGCGTCGAGTAACGAAATTCCACAAACGCGCAATGAAATTGCGTGGTGTGCACCAACAACTGCATTAATGACAAATATACATAGACAAAATTACATAGGAGGCATAAACAAGGATACTTACGTAAAGACACATTTTTATACTTCTAAACGTAAAAATTTTCAACTAAAAATCCGTAAATCCAGGACACGTTTTTACTCAAGTGTGTAGGGAAAGAGATAAGCTTCTCGAAAAAAGAATTATGTTTTGCAAATTAATACTTATTTCAACATGTTGTAAACTCCTCCTGTTGTAAAGCGTGTACGGCAATACAGGGTAATTCTTGCATAAAAATTAAAAAAAAACAATTTCAAGACGAGTATTAGCAACAGTAACTAAAGTGAATTCAAGGTGTTCTCCATTTGTAAGACTGTCTTAAAGGGGCAGTTGTTTCGTGATACTGAGAGGGAAGCAGTGCGTAATTGGCACAACTGGAAAAAAGGACCGCGCAATTTTTCCCTTTTCAGTCATTCTCGATTCATTCCGGTTTTGCGCTGTTCTCTCCTCAGTATCATGTACTAAAATCAGGCTCCAGGTGTTTTGTGTTTAAAGATGCGCTCAAGTGTAGTTAGCCATTATCCAGTCTAATCACTCCGTTGTAAATGCTTCCCTTAACCCCATATATTGATGCAGGAATAATACGACATATACGTCACTTTAGGCGGAAAGGTTATCCAAACAGGTTTTTGTTAATTAGCATCAGAACTGTTCATGCCAGTGGTGATGCGCATGCCCAATCCGAAAACTATCATCCTGATAAATCGGCTCGTACTCTGTGTCCTCTTCCGCTCGGCACTAGGGAAACGTGTGCTGATTTTTTACGATTCGAAGGATTATGATGCGAGAATGAGTCAAGATAAGTATAAAAAAACGACACGACAAATAAAATGTGAAGAAAACAAAATGTGGGACAACGAGAAAGAAACAGAGATAAAAATTGTGAAAGAAATTGAATAAAAAAAGAAGAAAGAGGGGAACAAGCAGAAAGAGAGGAGAGAAAAAGCAGAAATAGGTAAGGTTTGAACGGGAAAGAAAGCAATAGACAGGGCTAAAAAGATCTAACAACAACGAAAAGAAGAAGGCAAGCATAGCCAAGTAAAGTGTAGTGTAAGAAGGGGTGACCAACAGAAGTGAGCTTTAGATGGAAGCAATGGAGCAGGACATGGTGTGAAGTAGATGACAATCTTACATAGCATAGTAAACAGAAGTAATGGTGAAAAGGAAGTAAAGGAGCTGGGCATGAGGTGAGGTAGAGTGTAGTCTTGTGTATCATAGTATATCCAGAGGTGAGAGAGCAGTGAGGCTGAGGAGGAGGGCAACGTCACCAGCTACGACGCTTCAGCAGACTAGGCACCACCATTGTGAAGGAGTGCCAATTTTTTTCTTTCTTGCATATTTCACGATGAGCTACCCCTGACGACAATTCCATACGGTGAAAAAAAAACAAACAAGCAATATCACGCCATGTTGGGGCAAAAGTGGTTCGAAGCATGATTAGTGGCAGCGAGCGTTCTCTAAAAGCATGTGTCAGCCACTTAAAGACATTGAACGGTTTTTTTAAAAACCCTTACTTCATGTCGGCTGCCGAGGAGACTTCAACGTGGCCGCCGCTTGTACTCGGCAGTGCTTCCTCCTCGTTCCAGGACATTGGAGGCTGGATGTCGGGGCTACTACGCTCGTCATTTTCTATACATGTGGGAAAGCGAACGTAGGTAGCAAACAGTTAGAATAGTTGATGATGCAGGACCTAATGTTCAAGAGAACAAAAACCGATCTCTGACAGATCGTGAAGTTGTATTGCCGTATGTTTTTAGCTACCTAGACAGACGTATTGTTGACGCTACGAAGCATAATGCCCCCTTTTCTGAATCTCTCGCAAGGATTTCAAGGCTGTCTTGCTATCCAACTACCTATTTGGCGTAAGTCGCGGGTCCTATACATGCATGTGTGTTCACTCGCATTTTTATGGCGGCTAAATGCTATCACCTTTTGTTGTCACCACTTGTTTGTCACAACTTGCTTTTGACTATTTCCTTGTTATTTTTCAACAGTGAGTATTACCATTATGTTGTGTATTGATCGTATTTTTATTGTTAATCAAGCTTATTCATTAGTACTCGCAATTCCGTATAATATTGCTGCATTTTTTGTAATTACCCCATTCATGTAGCCATAAGAGGTCCCCCTGTCAAATTCTCTGAAACTTTGGGGCCTCCTGCTGTATTAACGCTAACCATGTAACTCAACCGAACTATTTATTAAACTTGATTTGACCTCGTGCACTGCGCACTGTAAGGGCATTTTTGAAGAAGACCAGATGGCCAACATTTCTGTAAGGCTCTTATTCAGCGTCCCTTCTATTCTTACAATAACTCCAAATTATTAATATTATTATTAATATTATTATCATTTTATTGCGATGGCAATTATGTGGACAGTCGCGGCTGGTTCTTGGCGTCGCCACCGCCACCAATCTCATTCACGTATATATATATATATATATATATATATATATATATATATATATATATATATATATATATATATATATATATATATATATATATGTGTGTGTGTGTGTGTGTGTCAGCTATCTTTAGCTCTTTAGCCAGAGTCTAGAAATATGCCGGCATATGCAATTACACTGCAAAAATGAATGTTGCTGACCGCGTTGCTTGGAGTTAGTCGAACTATTTCTTTCGTTGTACAATACTTTTAATTACATATGTTTGATTGACTAACGTTTGAGAGAACAATCATGCATAGAAAAATTTACTGAGAAAGTTGTAGATTGATTTGAGAAACGGCTGATTAGAGAGTTTAAAACTTTTTATCTGTTAATTAGTAGTGTTTTTCTGCTAACTACAAATGCCTACAAAATACACAAAAAATACCTCGTGACAAACCCTCGCATGCCAGTGCGCAATGTGATTCTAACGCTCCCTACCGTTACGTGTACGAATGACCATTGCATTTGCCCGATTGTTCTGTCTTGACAGGGCTGCAACAATGGTGATGGCTTTGCGAAGAACACGTTTTGCTATCAGCTACAAAATCGATAACCGCGTTGCGCCTGCTTATCACTACCATGAACTGTTGCGAGGGAAGCATATCGTTCGCAAGTGGAACGTTGTAGAGCACCAGAATCACGGCGTGCGTGGGTACGCCAGTGGGTTGGTCACGTCACGTGCTAATTTGTTGCATTTCCCGGGCAACGGCAACCAACTCCAGGCAACGGTCAGCAACACACATTTGGTCGCGTCGTAAGTCGTAATTGGGTGTGTTGGTATATTTTTAACCTCTGGATAAATATAGCTGGGGCACCCTGTATATACACACACACACATATATATATATATATATATATATATATATATATATATATATATATTCTGACAGCTTCGGTGCGAGTGTAGAAGCAATGCCCATAAACTGCGTGAAGAAGAATGTGTTGGTTCCCCATTGTGTGGTGTCGATCGATGTCGGACGAACCGCCCTACGGACTGTAAACTGTTCCTCTGAGCCCGTGACACTACCCAACGGTTTGAAATTAGATTCAGTCAGCAAAAAGTACGCCACCTTATCAGTGGTCGAGCTCACAGAGGTGCCGGAACTGGTTGTCACAATGTGAATGGGGCGCTTATGGCAACGATAAATAGGTCGCTTATCTCAGAAGCGGTTGACTGGATAGAGATCCTTCTGATCCTCTTCTTACGTTTTCACTCCTGGCGACAAGTGCGTTCATTGTATACGCTTCGTTGTCTTCGTGCATGTGCGCAACATTATATATATATATATATATATATAAAAAGAAGTGTATACCTAAGGACTCGTTTTTCCGTGTTTTGACACAATATTATTGAGATCTAAAAGGCAATAATGCCAAGGAATGTATAAGGGAAGTTATTAGAACCAATGTAATGTAAATAGGAAGAAAGAAAAGTTGGTGAAAAAGCAACCTGCCGTGATCAGGAACCCACTTTTCTTTCAAAAAGAGGATGCGCTAGCCTTCTCTTTTTGGGGAGCGAACATCGCCTTTCCGGCCGGGGTCACCTGTGCGCGTGCGCTTCTCGTGAGCAAAAAGGGAGAGGGGGGGGGCAGACGCTATCGCGGCAACTATCAGCGCACGGCTCCCCCCTCCCCTAAGCAGGCGGGAGCTTCTACAGGCTGCGTTCTCAACACAAAAAACGGTGTCAAAAGTGTACCTGGAGCGGCCGTCCACATAAAGATGTGCTCTAAACATAAACTACCACCAGCGGCGACACATGACCTATAGCTTTTAGTACCAGCATGCGCTGCCCACGGGAGGCGCTTCTCATCAACGCCGTCCCTACGCATGAGCCTTGTTGTAGCCAGTTACTGAGGCTGCGCAGCAGGAAACTTCGTTACTTAGCAAGCGCATGTTTACTACAAATACTATTGCTCCTAACACCGCTAGTCTTGCTTAGTAAAACATTTCAATATGTTGCTATCGCATTCATTGATTCGTAGCTTTGGCGAAAATGTGGCATTCGTGTTAATATTATTAGTAAAGTTTATTATTATATTATTATTATTATTATTAGTAATAGTACTAGTGCAAGAAGTATGTTTGGTCCCTGTATGCCTTATATAAAACACCCAAAAATACACGATCTGACAGCTAAATTGTAGATCACAGTAATAAATATCCGCTGAACTGGAACCGACGCTGTTGACATGTAGTTTGTAATCAAAAGTTTCACTACCGTTACTCGAACATCATTGTTCGTGGCCGCAAATATTCACAACCCAACGCCTTTATAACGAATACCAATTTTCAGCTTGAGTCTTTTTTACTTATTAGAAAGCACCTTATTATAATATAAAAGTGGCCCTTCAGTTACTGTGCGTTGATGAGACTAAGCGACAAAGTTTCATGTCATCTGTTCAGTGGCTTCTGAAAACAATGGACAACTGAATTAGAGCAATCAGTGATATAACTTATGCCAAATTTGCACAGGTAAACAAATATATCAGGAACAACCAATTGATAAGGTAAAACATTATGTTCGTGCACAATGCCTTACAAATCAAGGAACAGTGCCAGCCTGGTTCACTAAGTGGCACTGTTGGAACATAACTAGAGCTAGGTGCAATAGTCTGTATTTTTGTGGCTTTCATACTTTACTCAATACAGGTTGTTTAGGATATTTCCATGAGCACTACTTCTTTAATGTGAACAGATCATCACACTTATAAATGCTGTCATGGCAAAGCGCACCAGAAGAGCTAGAAACATTCCAGATTATTTTAGGATCCTGCAATAGAATTGTGCGTCCAAACCGAAAACAACAGATCACTGCGGAAGTTCTCTGGGTGCCAACAATAATGCTGGAATATACAATTTCGCATGCATAATAGCCGACTCCCTTTATTGTGTATCAGTTCACCTAAGACCGATGGCTGTGATATCCGCTATCTGTCTCTACCGTTCATCTTATCACTTAAGTTCACCTGACTAAATAGTTTCGGGTTTAACAGCAGGACTTGCGTTTGCATTGCTGTCACAACCAGCCAGAATATACAAACTTGTAAAATTTTAAAAATTCATGTGCCAAAACGAAGGTATGAACATAAATTATTGGGTTAGGTTATTCGCACTGGTTTAATGTTTTTCTAGAAACGTGAGGCTCTAGCCTGTTTTCAGCCAGCGACTGTGCAATAAACAGGCACGAACAGCCTATTAGGAAACTCGCACGTGCAAGCATATTTGTTCAGGGGCGACCGACGCTGAAGAACAGTGTATATAGTCATTGTTGAAGGTCTGCGCCACCGTTGGCGGAGCTATCGAATCCTCATGTGGCGTGTAGCTGCTTAATCCACATCAATGCGGCATCTCTGAACGCAGTGCTAAAAACCTCAAGTAGTAGTATGTAATACTTGGTTGGTTATAACTTCCCAAAACCACCTTAGGATTATGAGAGACGCCATAGTGCACGGCTCCGGAAATTTCGATCACCTGGACTTGATAACCTCAAATCAACCGACATTTTGATAAGATAATTCATAATTTTTTCATCGAGAAATAGATATCGTGACTTCAAAGCAACTCCCGAAGCCTTTCATTGCGTAAAAAGAAACAACGGTGGTTGTAAATGTTAGCTGCCACTGAAAGCATAGGCGTAATCGAAACTGTGCAAAAACGATCTATATAATTCGGTTTGATAAAGGATGTGATGATGATGTTACACGTACCGGGCGAGAAATCTATGACGAGGCGGGGTGAATTCGACGATTCATCATCCGTCTGGCCATCAGCAGCATTGCTGGAACAAAGCATTGCTGTCAGATATAGCGCCAACGTTACGCGAAGGGCATGAAAGCATTCTTATGTCGAAAGGTGGTGGTATTACAGCATAGGGAAAGAAACCACAGGCAATCGTAGTTTTGGAAGCAGTTAATTTAGGAAGAACTGACAGCTGACATCTTGAAACAATAAAACGTACAGCCGTGCTCTCGTCTGTGTAGAGCGCGCGAGCAGCCTGCATTGCTTCGCGGCGTGATCCTTAGCGGTAATAGCGGACTCTGACGTGGTGTGGCTGGAGCATGCGTAGCCTAATATATATATATATGCTGATCTGCTTTGTGAGTGACACTGTTGAAAGGTGCCCTCGTTCAACCAAAGATTCCAAACAATGACTTGTCCTGACAGATAACACCGCGCCTAGTCAGGCATGCTTTACATAGTGCTTTATCAGTCAGAAGGCAGCTTCTTTTGGGATCTGGTTGCCGAAAGCGCCCGCATGGAGCACGCATCTTCGGTTAAACAAGCGCTCCTTTGGACCCTGTCATTCGCGCAAATAAGTTAAGCCGCGGATGTTCCTGGGCACATTACGTGAGAGGCCGCGACTAATGCAAGCTGTCGACCTGCGAAGCAATGCATTACAACAAAAGAATTGACAGAACAAAAGATGCGACAATGACAATATATTTTTTTTCCATGGTTTGTATCAATAAAAGAATATACCATTACACCGTTTCCAACTAAACGGTATCGTGAGTAGCATGCGAAGCAGCGCGTGGGTCGACTAGAACTTTCGTGGATTATGGGCTCCTTGCCCAGTGTTAACGCGTCCTTTTAAGTGGAGGGACCATAAACTCACTGCAGTCTCTTTTGTTGTTACTCGTCCGGAACGCTTATAGAACCACGTCACGCGAGTTCATCGCCAAGCAGGAGAACTTGTGTTCTTCGCGCGTTTGCAGAGTCTTGTCCCCCGATGCCATCACGTGATTGTTGGTACCGTAAGCGAGATGCATCAGAGCCTCTCACACAGCCACTTACGCAGGACCCAACGCGCTAGCACGTGCCAGCGCGTTCTGGCTATAGCATTTCATCCGCAGCGGCTTGCCCCGCTCTTACAGGCGCGAACGTGCAAGCGCTTTAGCGCGCTCTGGCAGTGCTTTGGCTATAGCTGGGATGCATGCGCAGTAAGGGTGGACTTACACACCTGATTCGCATATAAAAACAAACTGACCTGATACTTGAGCATTTTTTTTACCCAATACCTCCTCCTAATATGACGTTGTTTACTGACGCTGAAATTCTGGGAAAGTTGAGAAACGTCAATGATTGAGCTTCGAAGAGCGGTGAACGGCAAAAAGGCGAAATTCCGGCCAAGCACCCTTTCGTGACCCGTGATACTACTGGCCCTGAGGCTTGCTGGCTTGATCATTTGCTTCGACGTCGTCCTTCATTAAAGCTTGAAAAAATTTATGTTGAACCATCCCTTGAAAAAGGATAACGCATTTACATAAAAACGCGAAACCATCGTGCGTTGTGCACTGTCGTCTTTTATGAAAGGGAACACGCGAACTCGTGGCCTGCGCTCTGCGGTGGCCGCCTACAGCAACATCAACTGACAGCAAAAGGAAACCCGTTCGCTTTCAGCATCATATGCTACCGAAAAAAATAATAACGAGTTTTGGCGGGTAGACAAGCGCTGCTAGGTTGCACTCCCTCTCTGCTCAGGCCTTCAGTGCGTAGTCCACTGCCAACATATCAAACGTTGCACGCGACCAAGGCGCAGGCTCCAGTAATCGCCCGATATCACTCGCCGTGCGAGCAGCGAGGACACGTAATGTAGCAGCGCTCGTCGACCAGCCATCACTCGTTATCTTGCTTGGCCATAGATGACGCCAAAAGTGAACATGCTTTCTTCACTTGTTGGTTGATGGTGCTGTAGGCAGCCGCCGCCGAGCACAGGCCACGCGTTCATGTGTTCCCTTTCACAAAGAATGACAGTGTACATGGGAACGAATAGTCTCATTCAATATCATCTTTCTCTGTGAAGCAATACCCTTCAACACTTCTTTCAGTGGAGTTGTATGCATCCCTGCTTTCACAATTATGTAATAGATGGCAGTGCACATGCTTCTACGCTAGGGGCAACGCGCTGCAGTAGCAAGTACTTGCAGCAGTGGAGTGCTGATCCGTAAGTCGAGAGATCAAATCCCAGTTACAGGGGCCACCTTTTTTTATGCTAAATGTGAGCCACCCGAGCGCTTTATTGCGGGTGCATAAAGGTTCTAAAGGAAAAGGAAAAAAATAAGCAGTGCGGCGTCGTTACTGTCTCTTTCTATGGAAGACAGCTCCACAACACCACGTGTGGGAAGGGTGAATGGGAGTGAAAAATTATATAAAAAATTATTCTATAGAAATTCTATAAAAAATTATTTCTTAAAAGAAAACACTCGGTGTACTGTACCTATATGCAAAACTCATAGGAAAAAGAAAAAACAAGTAAGTGTTTAAGCAGACTATCTCCATCGTCATTTCAGCGGGGGCACATGAGTAATTGTTACGCAGTCTCATATCGGTGGAATGATAAATACTAAACGGGGCAAGAGACGGGCTTCACAGAATGTCAAGCTAAACTGTTCTCTCCCTGTTACAGTGTGAAGCAGGCATTGACGTTTTAGTTATTACCAATATACAGGGGTGGTGAAGGTCTGGGGCTGATTTTTGGTGTGCACTGTAACGCGTCACCGTGTGCTCGTGTGCTAGTGGGCTCAAACAGTTCCGTGCGTCGCAGCAATGTATCCCGCAAAGCTTTAGCTCTCGTGCCTAAGGTCGCGCAGCTATCTACACAATAGCTACGGCCAAAAAATTGAAAGGTACGCCTTGATATTGACGATAACGCATAAGCACTGACCAGCAATGATAGGTAACACCAGGATGCAATTAATAAGATGCGAAACTGGCGTTGCGACTGCCATTCACGTTTTCGAGCTGCTTGCGAATAGAGATTCTTAAATATACACTGGAGCGAACTCTGGCGCTTGTGTCTATGGGAGCTGCAATGCATGGCACTTTAGCGAGCATGGGAATAATGGGTAGTACATGGATTCGCCTAGTCTTCGTAGTGTACGTTCGTTCTGGCTTCACGCGGATTGAAGCTGCTTCGATACAAAACAACAAGTGGCAAATGTCCGGCAGTAACGCTTCGCCACTTTAATATTTTAGGCTTTCCACTTCAAACCGGTTCACGCAAAGATTATTCGGTCAAAACAACACCCTTATAAACAAAGTGCTCTTATATTATCTTGGAACCTATGGCTCTACTAACGTCTGACTTAGCTTCGCCAAGTTATTTGTTGAACGACTTTTTTAAACATTGAAGTTTAAGCGTTCTCGTTTAGCAGCACTGATACACACTGTCGTCGCACCCTTCACACCATGCTGTAATATTGCGCTTCTAATACGTTTGAAGGGAAACCTAATCAGTTATCGAGAGATCATTTGTAGCAAGTAAGTTATAATCGTAATGTCGTTATGGTGAATATTTCGCTCATTTGATTACTGTCGGCCCTTGCGAAATCATGAAAGGAGCCGGAAAACTGAGATAATGTACGTGGACACGATGTCTTCCAGCTTAACAGCGTTTTAGCACGCAATAACGTAGTTATGCCTTGCCCAGCATGTCAAGTAAGCGCTACAGATAGCCTTATTTAAATGAAGATTCGACAGGCGGAAAGACTTACATGGAGACGTCCAATGAAACGGACGTATCATTCTCAGCGTTGGCAAAGCTTGAGCTCGGTGGCATTTCACTGGGGTGAACTTTGAAAGACGAGCGGCTATCCTCTTTTGTGTCGGACATGTCCGGAGTGGCGACTCGGGAGCACTGCAGGCACTGTCTTCTGTGCAATGCACTGAATCGCAACGCATGCGCTTTCGGTGCCAATAAACAATGAAAACGATGAAAGCGTAAGAGACACGTGTGATGTCGCAGTGCAAGAAATGACTGGACATAGCCTGTACCACTATTCCTACAATGAATGACTCAGAAACGCCATTCACGAATGGAGACTAACTAAAACGATTGCGATCATTGCTCTTAAAGTGTAGGTAACACAGCGATTTCTCCGTCATTGTGAACAGTCACGTAAATGTGTCATGCAAGGAAATCGTTGCAGTACCTCATGAAGCGCCTGATTTGTCTTTTATACAGAGAGGCTCTATTAGCGGACCCTGTATACCGGCGCGGATTTTGCCATACTGGTCTAGGCGACAACTTATCTTGGAAGACAAGAGAAGGCCATAGAGGCGGGCCCTCCGCATGTTTGTACTACGGCGCAAGTAGTCCGGCAGCCTATGTCCAGCCGATTTTAGTGTCGCTATCGGTTTGGCTTGCTGGCTGCATTCATCTAGAATCCGGGATGACGGCACGTTACCCTGGCAAAGACTTACGTTGCAGTTAATTCGTTTGATCTGTTCTGACAGCAACTTTTTGTCAAGTTTCAAGCATGCGCCTTTCTCGGAGAACAAAACGACAAGTTTGTGGCCGCACATTGCGCAGCTGGCATGGAGAACGCCATGTTTGCTGTGAAGAGCAAGTGTGTAGAAAATATACGGCTGGCTAAGAATTGAAGAAAAGAAAAATTAAACTAAACAACAGCTTTTTCTACCAATGGCTCACAATTCTTGCCTTACTTTAAAAATGAAGAAAGAAAACGTGTTTGTTTGGACCAGAGGTACCATGAAAATGGAAAAGTAAATATGGGTACTATTTTTCGGCGCGCACGCAACAAGTGTTTTAGTTCTGTAGCCTCCACAGTGGTCGTAAGAAAAAAAATATCACCGAGCATAGATTGGTGTTTGAGGGGTGAAAGTGAGACTTGACGGAAAGAACAAGAAGTTGCGCCTTGCTGAAAGTGAAACTGACTTGGAGGGGGAGCGGGTCGGAAAGGCTGAAGAACACTCGCTCGAGAGGGGTTGAGGGTGTGGAGACCTAACACAGTTTAATGCAGAAAAAAAATGAATTACCGCGGTTCTGCAACACAATTTCGAAATGGTCGAAAATTGCCATGCGTGGCAAGCGTGATCATCATTTATGCGTGACCGAATAAATGAGAACGATGGAAATAAAATATAGGATAAAAACGTCCTATGTCAGGGTAATGAAACCCGGATAGTTTGCGTGGAAAGCGCATGCTCTTCTACCAGATGAACGTGCGTCTGCTTGTGAACGCAATGAAAATAATTTCCTTTGCTTCTAAATGCAGTGAGAGTAACTTCAACACGTTTCATGTATACATGCTTCAGACTACATCATTAACTATGGTAGTAATGTTGCGTGGTACAAGCGCCTTTTGCCAGAGGGTGTCAGAACATAGGATTATCATTACTTCATGGTTTATAGCCGTTCACCTACTACAAAAGGCACACACGCTACTGCGCCTATTCTCTTAAGGCCACGTAGTGGGCGAATAGCAAGTTCGAAAAGATTTCATGAATAAAGTGTTTGAAGTAAGCACTATAGAACACAATAAAGACGAAGCTTAAGGGTACCATAATTTTAGGGGTGAAGCTCCTCTTAATCTTGGGAAAAGAGTAAAAAAAAACAGAAAAAAACAAGGCAGCATTTCCCGAATAGTTTAATAGGTGGCGCACATACAAACTGCAGTTGAGTGAGAGTATTCCAGATGGCACTGTACGGCTACTTAGCGATAGGCCAGTGCGTTGGCTGCACCTGGGTACGCGGAGAACAAGTGTCTCTCAGTCTCCTCGATAGTCGCCGTACGTGACAGATTGTTGGTGGGGCATGGGTGAAGCAGAGCTGCGCGGGTGCGTTGAAGACGCTTGTGCTCGGTGTTACTCTCGTCGGTCTTACCCGCGCACCATCTGCATTCTCGAACGCAATTGGACGCATGCATGGACGGAGAGATGCTTCGTTTCACTTATCAACATTCACTCCGTGGATACGCTGTCTTATTTCAAGAGTTATTTTTGCGGTCCACCCACTTCCTTTTGCTAAGCATTCCTATTAGTAGGGAACATTATTAGGTGTCAGAGTGTAATGCCAAGGACTACAATATCACTGTGGAGAGCTCCGGAAGCTTGATCACCCGGGGATTTCTAAGGTGCTATTAAATCTTATTGAATGGGCCTGGAGCATCGCAACTATCGAAATGTGGCTGCCACGGCACTGACGTCATCAGCAATGACGTCCGTCCGTCCGTCCGTCCGTCCGTCCGTCCGTCCATCCATCCGTCCGTCCGTCCGTCCGTCCGTCCGTCCATCCATCCATCCATCCATCCATCCATCCATCCATCCATCCATCCATCCATCCATCCATCCATCCATCCATCCATCAGGCAGGGAGGGAGCGAGGGAGCCTAGTTCCATCTAGGCAGGGAGGTTAATCAAGTGCATGTCCTCAATGTTCTCTTAATCCGTTTTATACATTTTTGTGCTGCAGTTGTATAAAAGAGATTAACCAAGCCTGGCTCGGTTGCCTACCGCAGACCTGGGGTGGGGGAAGGGAGAATATTTGAAAAGAAAGAGATAATATAGAAAGAATAACAGTAGTGAGATACGGATAAATAGTCAGCTTGACACTACACAGCACAGACCGCGCTGCTTTTTCAGAAGCGCTCGTGAAGTCCGATGACCCTCAGGAAGCACGAGAGCGCGTTCATGGCTTTGCGCGTATGCAAGACAGTCGGCCTAGGTCCTGTAAGTGGTCATGAATATAGGTCGTGGAGATTAACTTGCACTGGACGTCGTTGAGATTGATTGATTTGTGGTGTTTAACGTTCCAAAACCCCCATATGAATATGAGGAACGCCATAGTGGAGGGCTCTTGAAATTTAGACCCCCTGAGGTTCTTTAACGTGCACCCAAATCTGAGCACACGGCCCTAGAACATGTCCGCCTCTATCGGAAATGCTGCCGCCGCAGCCGGGATTTGATACCGCGACCTACGGGTCAGCAGCCCTGTACCTTAGCCACTAGACCACCACGGCGGGGCTGTCGTTGAGTTTGAGCAGTGCATAGGATGTGCTCGAGCGTCTGCTCACCTTACTGACGTTGACAGTGAGGCGAGGTGTATAGCACATTTCTTGTATCTTCGCGAGCGTGCGGGAAAACTCAAGGGGTCCAGCTATAGAGTCGTCATGTACAGCTTTCGTAACCCGTGGACGAAATGTTCAAAGTATAACGAGCAGGCAGTTCACTGGAAGCGGCACGAAGTTCTTTAAGGAAAGGCCCATTCTCAATAACAACGACGCCAGTACTCGTTTGACCACCTTTACTCGTTTGACCACCTTTGGAAAAATGGCGGCCTTGTTCTGCAGTATTTCGCAAGGGCTTTGAGTTCTGCGTCGTCTAGTTGTCATTTGGCGAAGTCGTCGGTACTTAAGCGGCCTGAGAAGGACTCATTGTCTCAGTCAACCTGCTGTGAGGGGCCAAAGCCGCATGAGACGGGGAACCGGTGTCAGAGCACTTTCACCCGGTCTTGTAAACAATAATGATGAAGTCACGGACTCCACCGTGTCAGGTGGCTTGAATGATCCTTCAAGTTAGCTAGCCAACACGAGGCATGGTTGTCGCTCCCAATGATGAAAGACCTGCAGTTGAGGCAAGGACGAAACATTGGTATAGCTAAGATGATAGCAAAGTACTCCTTTTCTGTTTTTGAACAGCTGGCTTACGCCTGAGGTTTCAGCAGAGAACATGGAAAATAAAATACCGAATAAGGCAGACAGAACACAGAGGAGCGCTTCTGGTAATATAGACGTTGTGCCGGAACTGTTTTCCGCCGTGTAGCGTCCTATGCGCGACTGACCCACCGCCACCTTCTCGTTTATCTTTCCCTCTAACCACTAAACGCAAGAGGAGAGGGTGAAATCACACATGATTATGATTATATATACTCGGAATAATCCCCCAAACTCCCCTCTTCTCAGGACTGTTTCACGCGTTCTGAAAGAAAAAAAATTATTACTACCTTTATTATAAGAATGTTGATTTGAAAATCGAATGCAGTGAGCATGGTGTGCAGTGTTCTATATACGCGAATTCACCAGACCATTGCTAACCGAAGAAATCAATAGAACAATAAATTTGGAATAAGCATGAAATCGTAAACCCTGCGTTCGTGTTGGTCTTGGAAATATTACCATGTTGTGTCCCGACTCCCCAGTCAACAGCAGACAATGTTTGAGACGAGGCAATTGGTAAACACGGCTAGCTGATTCTTCAGGTGAAGTTCTAGCGGGGTTCAAATCCCGGCTGCGGCGGCTGCATTTCCGATGGAGGCGGAAATGTCGAGGCCCGTGTGCTCAGATTTGGGTGCACGTTAAAGAACCCCAGGTGGTCAAAATTTCCGGAGCCCTCCACTACGGCGTCTCTCATAATCATATGGTGGTTTTGAGACGTTAAACCCCACAAATCAATCGAAGTTCTAGCGGCAAAAATTGGTTCACATAAAAAATATCGCCAATAACGAGGGACAAGAAAAGAAGTAGACAGACAGCGGCATTCCTGTGACCCAATTCATTGGGTCACGGAATTCCAATAGCATACCTGTGACAGCCCAAAACCTGAATCTTCACCCGATCTTTCCCGACGAAAGTTGCTCGACATCCTAATGCAAGAACAGGTAGTGGAATTGGCACAGCACACACAGCCTCACCAATCCTTCGTTTCCCTTCTCCCATATGCAGTCACTGAAGTAAAGTAATTTCACAACTTTAAATAAAAGCATTCGCACGGTCACTCAGAGTGGGTACTTCAAGAAAAAAAAAAAAACGTTTTGTTAAAGAAATCACAATGCACGCTACAATAGCGTACTAAAGCTTTTGTTGTATGCGAATGATTGATTGGAAAGTACTCAACTCGCATGTCTATGACGACAGAGCGTTG